AGATTTCGTCTTCCTCGACCTTGATCGATATATATTAGGCGATCGACGGTCGTTTGACATCGCAGAAAGGCTACTACTAAGATCGTGACAAGGTCTAGTCATTTGTGAAATACGCCATGTGAAACAAAAAACAGCCTCCATCAAAGATATATTCCGTATACTATTAGCCCCTAGTCGCATACGCCACCTAAAGATCGATGGCGTACATGATTTTTTGTTATTAACAAAGTTTCCTGCCATCGCACTAACAACGCTGGAGACCCTAGTTATTCACTACAAATCATCGAAGTATAACCCTAGCCAACCAGTAAAATTAGTGTTGTCCAAAGATGCACCCAGTCTCCGCCGGGTCGCACTATCATCGGATGTCAGCACTACAGAGATGCAACCTCGTTTCTCTGTAGATCCGCATCTACACACCTTATACGTTCTGAGTGATGTTATGGGCGACTATGGCGAATCCCCTCAATACCTCTCTTTACCATCCTTAGCGCGCCTAAGATTGGGTGCAAATCCATTCATCAACTGATCAGAAAGGTGCCTGATTGACCGTATCAGCCAATCTGTGTCCGAGATTGGGAGGGAATCCCACAAGAATCGTTCCTTATTTCGCTACTTAGCGCGATGCCAACTTTGAAACGTCTTTCTCTTCCACAGAGCTCGTGCCTTCCTCACATTATCCGCCACATGATAAGCACGGAGTTCCTTCCTGATCTCCAATGGCTAGAATGTCCGATTTTCAATTTGGGGGCGTAATAGACTTGAGACTCATGGCGGAATATCGTGGCATAGAGCCCCTTAAGTCAAGCATTGAGTGGCTAGATATGCACAGCTTCTTCAATTATGGATCAGTCTATTGGCATAAAAAGAATGGAAGTAGAACAATTAAAGAACCTCCGGCAGAACAGGGTGAAATTCGAATTTAGGCAACAGCGGTCTAATAATTTTCTGAATGGCTCGGTTGGGGAGGAGACAACCTTCGTTGATTGGTTTGAATCTTGTTCTAGCTACAACGGTGACTCAGATTGGGGGGACAGTCCTGACTCGGAAGATGATGAATATTGATTTGATTTGTGAATTCGAATGGGCACTACGTATACATATGCAGGTGATATTTAAAATAAACTATTATAAAAATGCCCCTTGTAGGTAGTACATACAAGCTAACCATGTATACGAAGGGCCACCGATACATGAAATGTGGCACGACCAGAGAAATTATGTGGCCATATGACGTCACACTAAAATCGAGCACAATGGTGTCCAAGGTCAGAGGTATGGCCATTGACAAAAGCAAAAACAAACGAGGACCTACAAGCACACACAACCCATCTATAAAGACGATATTGCTTATCCCCACCTCTTTATTCCTTCACGGTCTCCTCATCACGGGATCTTATTCCAGGCTACGCGTCGACTCTATTTACGCTCAAACCAGTATGGGAAAGAAACGAACAAAGGACGAGGACCCTGACGAGCCGGATATACCCAGGCCCCGTAACGCGTGGATTTTATATCGTTCGTGGTATTATGAAAACCACAAGGAAGAATTCAAGGGTCCGGGAAACAAAATGGGACATCTTTCAAAACTCGCGGCGCGTGAATGGAATTCCTTGCCACAGGAGGATAGGCTATATTGGGACCTGCGTGGTGTGGCAGAGGGGCTAGCGCATATCCAGAAGTACCCAGATTATAAGTATCGGCCACGCAAGAATGGAAATAAGGATACGAAGGCAATACAAAAGGGTCTGGTGAGGTTGAAGGGGAAGGGGAAGGCCAAGGATAGTAATGAATCGGATGGAGAGCCTCAGAGGAAAAGGAGACGTGTGGATGAGCCGCTGGAAATTATACTGCTGGAGACTCCAGTTGAGGGAAAAGAGCTTACCTCGGTGTCACCAATCACGGGGTGGGAGGTGCGTTGACAGACCTATATTATCTAGGTCCAATTGAAGACTAATTCTATTAAAGGATTCGTTTCCTTCGGCCGGTTCTTCCTCGTCAGTCACCTCTCAGGATTCTTTGGCCTCTACAAGCCAGTCTACTTGGGCCTCGCCATCATTCGCAACTAATGATGTAAAGCTTTCCTCACTTATTGCTCTTATTCCATTACTAATCCCGTCGAATAGCAAATGTTCACCTTCACTATGCCCTTTCCACCTCAAGAAACTGGATTCGTACACGCCAATTATATTCAGGAGAACGAGGCGAACGAATTCCATTTCGACGAAGAGCACAAACTACCTCGAGGAGACGTCGAGTTCGCGGGATACGCCACGGACAATGCATACGCTGACATTGAGACTACACAGTTCATTTCCTTCAACGAGGCCAACATCACGGCTAACCACGATGCGAACATAAATCATGTTACTAACGACTACTATTGGCCTTCTGTGGGTGCCTACGAGATCTTGCAAGGTCCCCGCCCCTCGGAGACTGAGGATCACTATCCCGGCGACACTGAGGAACGCGCTTTCGACTATGATGCTCACTACGCCGCTGCCGTGGCATCGATGTTTGCTCCTGAGGCCCCGAGTCAGTATTATGATTCCGCGGTCTCCCAATAGTGGATACACAACAATGCGTACCGTGTTCCTTATTATTGGAGCTGAAACGTTCGTTTGATTGACCCACCGCTCGTAAAATTATCAGTATTAGTAGTATAGTAAGTATATTAGATTATTTAGTAGTAGCACGATTTTTGTACAGTTTGGAATAAATAAAAAGAGATTATATTGGTGAATTGCTTTTAAAGGGCGTGAATCTTGTACGGGATGAATATTATGATAAACCCGAAAGACTCGTTGCTCATACTTAATCATACTCATACTTCGTACCCAGAGGAGTGTATTCAGGCGCGAGTAATTAGACTAGTGGTTGTTTGGAATGAATTGAGGTACTGCGGGTATGTAATGGTGTAAATATGGGGTACGGAGACCAGGAAGACAGAAGTTAAGTTACTTAAACTACCCTTTCTAGAAAGAGATACGCATCGAGCTAACATAGGGGGCTACACAGATAGAAAGGAAGGTTTCGTATGCGCATCCCTGGGACTACTCGACAACTTGGTTATTTAGGGTGGTGGATGTAGTGGGGACTCATATATTCGTATGTTCGTCCTGAAGTCAAGTCGCGTTTACGTTTGGCGTAGGAAAATAAGTTAGGGGTATAGTTCATCTAAGAATTATCAGGGTAGCTTCTGTGATTCGGGTGCAAATATTAGAGGGCGAAGTGCAGAGCACGGAAAGGTACTACGAAAAGTACACCGAAGGAGGAATTCAACACTGGATTGTCGTTGGTGCATGACTCCCAGGAGAATTGGTTCTGTTTAGTGGAAAGGACACGAGCAATAACAGAGATAGGCACCAACCATAAGAGCACTAGAGTATCCTATACGCAAGGAAGGTGTTTTTTCACTGATATAACTTTGTACCTGAGGTCTCCTGATGCGCCGAAAGGCTAGCAAGGAGGAGGCGGTAGACGTGGCGTAGTGTTAAATCATAAGGTCCCAGCCATGTAGATTGTGGGAAAGAGAACAGATCTCCAGTTCGATTATAAGAGTAGATGCGATAGTTCCTGGATGAATGGGAATCGGTGCTAACTCCAGCATGGTATTGGTTAATAAGGAGGCAGGTAAAATGCAACATAAATCAGGAAAGGAGGACTCGAGTATATTCGTGATGACAAACACAAGAGTTAAACGTCGGATGTAGTGCCGTTCTAGTAGATCATCTGGATCTGCATTTATATCCAAATTTCTCGTACAAGGTTCGACAGGCGAGACACAGATGTTGATCGATAGGTCCGCACTGTTTTTCCGTCTTTTGAGAGTGGTTCCTCGAGCACATAGAGCATAAACGTATCAAAAACGCACCAAATATGAGAGCCCACGACCTTTCCTTCGCGCCAGTTAAACACCCAATGTGTCTCGTCCAGCCACTTGCGCCACGACATAAACCATTCAAGAGACCCATAGAAGCTGGATTAACGGATAGCAATAAGCATCTCAGAGGTTGAGAGTAGAAACTCGGATCCCCAAACTCAAGATGAGACGCCCATGGGCATGAGGTTCGAACTTATAGCGCACAAGTCTGCCAGGTAGCCAGAGACTCAACAAGAATAAGAACACCACGTGCCCATCACGTGGCACATCATCGCAAAACATTACGTCATTTATCAACCAGGAAAAAACTCGTGATCTCGCCGTATATTGTAATCCTCATCTCCATCATCGAGCTGATCCAAACCCACAGCCCTAGCACACATTTTTCTCAAACCTCACCATGCAATGAAAAATTAGCCAATAAATTCAATTTACTCGAGCACCCTCACGGGAGGGACGAAATAACAAGAAGATTGGCCTGGACACATTTTCTGAGGAGCGGCACGCAAATTGTACATACAGGCCACATCACATCCTCCCGACTACCTATAATCCAGAGCCAGTCCTTGTGCCAGTCTGCCCCGCAGTTCTGCGCCCCAGTACTCTGCTCCAACGACGGTCCCACTAAACCATACCTCACTGAAAGTATAGCAACAGTACGAGTCTGTTATACCTTTGCAAAATTTATCTGAACTTCAAACGTATGGGTGGGAAAGCCAATGGGTACTGAGGCTTGCAGGGAATGCCTGTAGTCAATTTGGAGTTCTTTTCTGATTCTATTTTGGTCTGTCCTTACATTTTGTTGCGTTTTGATGCGTTTTGAGTCTCCTTCCGGGTATTCGAGCCTGGGATTAGGTTTCGTAGGAATGTGGTTGGAGGTAAACTGTCATTTAGTTGTGGTTATGTGCGATAAGGTCTTGAGTCCTGCAGTCAACATTCTGCGTATACTTACTTTTAGTAGCTACATATGGTTTCATATCAAGCGAGGAGTTTTCTCCACACCTCTTAAATTTTATAAACCCGTACTACCCGTAACGTCCCATCCCACTTCGCGATGTAATTTCTTGTATTACTTACCGGATCTCTATCTGACTTACCCCTCTTCCTCAAGAAAAAATGAGTTGACCCAGGCTCGAACTGAGGACCTTCTGTGTACACCACCTTAAACCATGGTTGTTTGGCATGATGTTAGACAGATGCGATAACCAACTACGCCATCGACCCAATGAGATTTTTTGCCATCAAACATACGATTAGATTATCTTGAGTTTTCTGAGCTCAGCCTGTCAGTGTCAAACCTCGAAAAAAGATATAGGAACATGCCATATAGCATCACCTTACCAAGGGACAAGGATGCGCAATATAGGGAGTACCTTGTAGTAGTAGATTGCGAGGATCGGTCCTGGAGTCACCTTCCCCATAGCCTAATACGTTGATTCCGAGTTTGAAGTATTTTGAATGAGGCTATACCTCCTGGACTTTTTCCTTATAAAAAGAGACGTATAGTTAATTTATCTTGCTGTCAGTTGGATGAATTGGACGTTTGAGTCAGTAAGGAGCTTCACAGGTCACGCATTTGTGCCGCCTTAATATCAGCGTGGGAGAGGTACCTGAAAGAGCACGATGACATCATAGGTTAGTAAGAATCTAAGGGAGATGAAGCAGCACGAACAGCACACCTTTACCATTCAATATTTGCTCTGTATGACATACCTGCATCATGTCATATCCCCCGTTAACGGGAGGTATGGAAACCATGAATAAAGGAAGAGTTTCGGTTTAGTAGGAGGTGCGCAATCCAAATATAACCACGT